GCGTCTAATGCGCCTTACGTATATATATATATATTCCTACCGCCGTTTATACCTCGGGTATAACGTTAGTCCGACCCGCCCGGCCATAAAACACAGCTATACTTAGTGCATGATACTTTTACGTAGTTAAGTCGCATTATTTGTATAAATATATATATTCTAATTACTATTAAAATTAATATATTAACACGATTTATTCTAATTAAGAGATATAAAGTATTCATTCCGATTACGAGGGATGATTTCCGTATCGTCATTTTTCGTCACTACCTCCACGTTCCGGGAGTGAGTAATTTACGCGCCTGCTGCTTTCCTTGGATGTGGTAGCCGTTTCTCAGACTCCCTCCCCAGAATCGAACCCTGATTTCCCGTTACCCGTAACAACCATGATATTGATAGTAACTACTATCATAACATGAAACTAAAAAGTAAAAAATAAATATAGTTTAAAAAACTAAAAAAACACGCTTTTAAAGTACATCGAACTAAAAAGTTAAAAATAATTTTTAAAATAATTATGAACAAAAAATACTATTATTGTGATAAAAGCGTGGGTGCTTTGTGCCATATTTTCGTATATTGAGCGCCCGACGATTTTATCACAATAATAGTATTTTTTGTTCACAATTATTTTAAAAATTATTTTTAACTTTTTAGTTTGATGTGCTTTAAAAGCGTGTTTTTTTTAGTTTTTTTAAACTATATTTTCATGTTATACTTACATTAGACACAATGTTATAAATGCATATGTGTGTATGTGTGAGTTTATTTATTTATAGTATCATTAAAGTGTAGTGTATATTAAGACACAACCGAAGAGTAGGTAATTGATTTGACGCTATATTGTTTAAACCCAACTAAACGCTAAATTGTATATTGTCAAACAACAATTATATTATGTCAATTGCCACCGGAATTTCTGTTAATCTTTTTCTTTGCCTTATTCCCAACTACTTGGGGTCGGCCACCCTAATCCTAAACTTCCACTTGACACTATCGATCTCCCACATCTTCTACGCTCACATCAGCTGTCCTCATATCGCATTCAATAACATCCCTCAATCTCTTTTTTGATCTTCCTCTATCTCTTCTTCCTTCAACATTCATTTCTATAACTGTTCTTATAGCTTCCGATTCTTCTCTCCTCATAACATGACTAAATCATCTAAGTCTATTTTCTCTCACCTTACTTACGATTGACACTACACTTATACTCCCTCTTATATACTCATTCCTTATTCTATCTTTTCTAGTCACTCCACTCATCCAATTATCATTTTTATCTCTGCTACACTCATTCTCTGCTCTACTTTCTTATCAACCGCTCAACACTCTGAACCATACATCATAGCTGGTCTGACTACATTAATAATGAAATAAGTAAAGTAAACCCATTGCTACTATTTCAACTAATCGCTATTTAAAAGAAAAAACCCAGCAGTGTCCTGGCACAGTGATTAAAATCATTATCAAAAAACAACGCCTTGATGCAAATCTGTAGATAGTGTTTAATTTTTAAATTTTAATGGATTATTACAAAAGCTACATAATCTCTTATTTCCTTATTTATATCCTAAATACAAGTTATTTGCATTACTAGTGCAAAGTATGTACTCGATGGAGGATTTCTCCACTTGTCGGCGAACAAAGAGGCAGGTAGTTCGGACCGGTTGACCTGTTGCCTAGCGTCACAAAAGGGATCGGTACTACCTACCAGGGAAAGGTAATGAGGGTGACTTGTAGTCTCAACGACGGTCAGTTTTTCAGAACCCAGTAGAAGAAGAAGGTCGCAGCAGATATTTCACTCTTAAATATTACATATTTCTTTAGTTATTTTTGTTAAAAATTATTTTCTTAAATAAAGCAAGTCAATTTGTGTTTGACCATTCACTGTAAGTAAGTTTGTTTTTTATTTTATTGCATAGAATAAATTTGTCTACAATAGACAAATTTACACATAACACAATATTATTTAGAGCAATTCTAAATAAGTTAACTGCATGAGTTCACTTGCGCACAGCTACATTGGGCATAATTTACATAATCAGAAAGAAATAATTAGAGTGTGGTACCTTAACTGTATTTTAATTATTTCTGTTTTATAGTCATCGTTGTCGGCGCACTGCGGTGGTCGATTGACGTCTAGGGTACTCGTGCAAGGCGGTACTCTACTGTTATGTGCCATCGGTACTCTGCGGATACCATGACACGTTTAAGGGCACTGGCTCAGAGCGAGTGTTCTATTGTTCTTTTAGTAATCGTTGTCGGCGCACTGCGGTGGTCGATTGACGTCTAGGGTACTCGTGCAAGGCGGTACTCTACTGTTATATGTCGATGGTACTCTGCGGATATCACGACATGTTAAGGGCTATTTACGCAATACTCACAAATTAAGCTACACGACATAACGCATATAGTATTACTTGTTAACCAGCGTAGGTTACTCATGCAGTTAGGTTATAATGACATTTGATATATTTTACACATGGTAGAGCTTCATACTCTGTTTTTTTATTATTTTATGATTACAGTCCACTCACGAGCATTAACACCACTATAAAGTTATTTGACAAATGTATCAAACAAAATTTTTTTCCATTTTCTTATTCATTTTCCCATTCTAAATTTTGATAGAATATATCTTCAACAAAAGTACAATTTTCTTAATTTTCAATCTTTATTTCTATTGAATTTGTACGTCATTGACCTTTGCAATGTTCACATATAATAGAACATTTAAGTCCTGTTTTTCGGCAGCCACAATTTTTACCAGCTCCAGCACCTGACTAAAGTACGTTTTATGACAATTATCTTTATTATTAGCAGAAATTCCAGTGGCAATTGACATAATATAATTGTTGTTTGACAATATACAATTTAGCGTTTAGTTGGGTTTAAACAATATAGCGTCAAATCAATTACCTACTCTTCGGTTGTGTCTTAATATACACTACGCTTTAATGATACAATAAATAAATAAACTCACACATACACACATATGCATTTATAACATTGTGTCTAATGTAATGATAAAAGTAACCGTAAAATGAAAAAAAATGGAATATAAATTTTAGTACTCATATTAAATGTAATGTAACTCGAAAAATATTTGTTTAAATGAAAAAATATAAGATAATTTTTTTGTTTATAATTGTCTTTTAAACAACTTTTGTACGAAACTTTTTTTTGTAAGTCAAATATTTTTTGAAAAAATTAAAAAAGCTCATATTTTTGAACTTTTGCGAGTCTGTAAAAAAAAGCTCAAGTCCAATCGATGAGGACTTTTAGTATGTCATTATACATATCTTAATTCAACTTTAAAAAAAAAAAAATTTTGGTTGGGAATTTTTTCTGCCATTTTTCCTTCTTTGACTGGCCTAATATATCCATGTTAGCAGTGCTCGAATTGGCCAAAAATAAGTAGGGGAGCTCAACTTAACAATTTGTAAACTGCGTCCCTAGCATTTTGAAGACCTTTTTTTTTTTTTTACTCATTACTTAGTATTTATTAATAAATTATATTTCATTATTATACTATTTAAAAAAAAAAAAAAAGATGGTATTTCCAACATCCTCATAAAAAAAAAATTGGTGGGGGGGGCGCAAAATTTTTTTTAAAAAAAGTAGAGGAGCTACGTCCCCCTGCGCACCCCCCCAATTCGAGCACTGCATGTTAGCAGTTGAGTTCTGACGTTTCGGACTCAACTGCAAACATGGATATATCCTCAAGCACTTCAAGTAACAATACCTTGTTAAACATTTTTTTTTAAATTAATTTTTTCACTTTGTTTTTAATTTGTAATAATCTTAAAATTGGTCAAGTGAGAGGTGTGAAAAATTAACAACAAACACAAAAAAAAAAAAAAAATGTTATAAAATATTTTAATATGCATAAGAAATATTTTCTCACGAGGGGAGACTACAGTGATGGGATCCGTTATTTATTCATGTTATTCAATTTAAATGTGATAAAAATCAAATGAACTTTAAATTTTTTTTCACCTCAAAAAAGAATTTTAAAAAAATGCAAAGAAACTTAGTTTAATGAGCCAGGTTAGAACGAGTTCGTACCCCAAGCATATAAAACTGTATGACATTCGATACAGCCACCATGAATTACACGCAATTTAGCTAAAAATGACAATTTAAGATAATTTAAAAATTTAATGCAGCTTTTAAATTTATATTTAATGTAAGTTAGATTCATCTAAATTTTATAAAAATTGGTGGACACATTACTATGGAAAACTTTTAAAAAGTATTTTAAAATAAAAATAAAATTTGAACACAAAAATAGCACGTTTTTAACTATGACAATCATTTGCATATAGAAGATAAGTTGTCGAACCAAATTTTTTTTTTTAATTTATAGTGTGTAACATAAGCTTTAATTTAACATATGTTTAAAGGACGTAATGTTTTCAGAACATTTTTAAAAGTCAAGTTGAAAACATTGACTTCTGTATTTTTGAATCCACCACTGTGGGCAGGTAACGGGTTAGGTTTTCAAAATTTGATATCAAATGAAAGGGAAATATCTAAGGTTTCAATATATAAAAAAATAATAATATTGTTATTCATTCCTTTTTCAATAAGTTATGGCTATTTTTCGAAAAAAGTGGAAAAATGTCAAAAATTTACAGATTATAAAAAGTGTAATTTTTTGCAGGATTTTCATCATTTACGGAGAATGAGGGAAAAGTTTTTAATTTTTGAATGTAATGTCTTCAACAAGATACAATTTGTAATCTTTTGACGTATTGTTGAAAGAAATTGGTCTGGTGAGAGCTGAGAAAAAGTAATGACAGACACAAACAAAGAATATACACTTTAAGGTATAATTAATACCTTCTCAGCTTCGCATCGAAACAAAAAAGTATAAAATGTTATGTGGATCATAAGTTATATGTTCATAAGTTCTACCTGTGTAATATATAATTTATAATGTACAAAAATTATAGTGCAATATTATTGGTCTGTAATACTGTTATTTCTCATACCACGCTTTTCTTTTATAAGTTTAGCATGTCTGCGAAGTTTGGTCAACACAGTAGTAGCAACAACAATACTACTTTTTCGACTAACATCTTCTTCTGGTTTTAAATGGCTTTGTGAGAGCTCATTTCCACTTTTCTCCATTTCTATGGTATAACAGTAATGACATCTTGTTGTTAAAAAATATAATACCTAATTATTAAATTTAACATATGCATTTTATGCGCATAAAATTTCAAGTTATAGAACTACATTTTACACATTTAATTCAAAATTAAATTACTTTATTTTATCTTATTACAAAAAGTTTTCTTATCTTGTGATAGATTTATAATTTTTGAATGAATATGGTATTTTTAATTCAGAATTTTAACATACCTTGTTCTTTTTCACATGCAATTGATTGTAAACTTTGTGCTGAAGCTTGAGAATGTCCCATGGATGACAATGCCATGGACCACCTTCTTCCTTCTTTACTGTGTGATTGACGTGTCTCTCTCTCCCAAGGATTTGTTGTAACGGGTAATGTTGTGTAAGGATTTGATGGCCGAGCTTTTGGTCGACTTCTATAAGTTTCACGTAAGTAAGATGTAATTTCTAAAAATAACATACAAGCAACTATTCTCAAAACCATTGGACAACTCATCGTCTGTGAGATACCAGAAGCTAGAAAATTGATTACAATAGTAAAAGAAAAAAATTGTTTGTTTGAATAAATTTATTACTTTCATCTAAAAAATCTTCTTCCTCGTCTTCATTTTGAAGATCATGCTGATAAGTTTCATCATGAATTTGCAAAGAAATATGAGCGAATTTTTTTTTATCTTCTGCTATCATTTCATCAATTCGTGCAGCAATAATCTATGAAAAATATAAAAATAAATTTTTGTATTTTGATAAATTTAAATGATTCTATAATACTTCTCCCCATTGCCGAAAAAGTTTTCCAGTGTTATGCTGAACAACAGCTGATTTTTTCAATCCATTTAACATTGTGGATGATTTGAAATTTAATCCAGATGGTCTCATCATCATACGCATCCAAGCTGACCATTGACCTTTATTGCAACTATGAACATAATAGCAACATTCTAAAAGAAATGCTGCTCTAGCTAGTACAGGAGTATTAGGCTGAAATGTATTATTATAATATTTTAAATAACTTTAACATTTATCTAAGTGTATTTAAATAATTCAACAAACCAAATCAAATGCAGCAGATATTAAATTAGCATCAGGAACTGATCCAGGCCCACATATTTCCATCATAACAGAAAAACGTTGAATTCCCATTCTTAACTGTTTAATTTGTACTAATTTTCTCTCTTTTAATACAACAAATTCTGATTGGTGGGGATGATCCCCATCATCTAAAGAATCTCGACGACTTAAATCTAGAGTAAATTATAAAATGAAAAATAATAGTAATACGTTAATGAAAATATAAATAAAATATATTACAACTTCCTTGAGAATCTTCAGTGCTTTTATCTTTTTTTCTACCTTTACGAAAAACATATTTGTTCAATTGATGCCCCACTCGCTTTTTAGTCTTTTTAAACTTTGATGTCATTCTAAAATAAATAAAAGTACAAGATAACAATTAATAATATATTATATTATGTCAGAATTTTACCTAGAATTGCTTTTATTAGATCCTCGACAATATGATTGGTGTAAGTTAGCTGCTTGACGTACTAGAGATCCTACATCAGATGTTGAATCATAAGAACTCATAGCTTGAGATTTACCACGGCATTCTTGAACATTTGATTTTGAGCTAATCCAATTAACTAGAAAATTAATATTTTATTCAAATAAATTTAAGGATTTAAAAAAAAACATTTAAAATTTTAGATCTTGTAATTTCTAACATTGAGACCAATAAATAAATAAAGATATTAGCATTTAAGTATTTAAACATAGTAAAAAACAGAGTAGTGTTTAAAAACATTCTATTTTTACTATAATAAATAGATAAATCACTACTATATTATGCACTTTTCTTACGAATATCTAAAAATAAAAAATTAAAAAATAATATTACAAAAGTAGTTATTAACCAATCAATATTTTATTTAGTCTATTTCCCACATAATAGTACAAAATAGTTTTATGGATTCTCATTTAACTTTTAAGTTAACACTAAGAAATAATATTTATACATTAAACCTAATATATTCATGGATCATAAAATGAAAAACTTATTCAATAAATTTTCATACAATAATCGTTCTTTAAAGAAAAATTGAGGGATTTTGGATTTTAATTTGGAAATCTTAAAAAAACAGAACCGGGATTGAACATGACCATTTGGAAAATCCACCATCAAACAGAGGTTCGCTTTTAAGGACAAACTCTATTCCTAAGTGTAAATATAGTGGTAGGTAAATTTTCAGACTCTATTATAGACTTAGTACAGCAGAGATTTATACAAAAAGCTCCAAGAAATCAGGAAAGATAGGTGCTGGTAGTTGGGGATTAAAACTTTGCATAAATATCAGCATGTCAATAGGCTCATACCCTCCATATTCCAAGGAGAGATAATGGCAATACTATGAATTTGCTAGTATTCAAGAAAAAGAAGATAACTACTCTAAGTGACAGTCAATCTGCTCTAAAGGTACTTAGTAATAAACAGGTGACTTCATAGCTAATTCTTGAATGCAGAAAAACTTTATAATCACTAGAAAGATTCAACATAACCGAACACGACAAACTGATACCACATCAGCATACTTTCGCCCTCCATGCTGCTAACTTTTAACTAATGACTATTCGTGACACTGCATCGGCGACATCAGCAAGACTGCCGCAATTATTATAAACTGCATTCATCTTTTCGGTTTTTTTAATAATCATAATTTATTGTACATTAATAATAAACAAAACACAGGTTTTTTCCATCTAAAGCAGTGTTGACTACATCATTATAACTTAAATTGTGTCAAATGCAAAGTTTAGGGACAATAAAAAAAAAAGTACTTATTTTTAAAATGAGATAACATTACTTATATTGTATATGAATAAATATTACTTATTCATATAAATACGATAAATTGAACACACTATGTTATGAACTGGTAGCACTTATCAATTTATCACTCAATAAAGATGCCGTATTTTAAAAATAATTACACTTTTTTATAATTACCCCTTAACTTTAAACAGCTGTAACTTATTTAATATGCAATAATATAAAATTATTATTAAGATTTAATAAAAGAATTATTTATATTTTCCCTATGGATAGGGGATAAGAATACTTCCACGGTCCCTCTGCCACAGTCATAAGAGGCGACTAATGAGGTTGCGTCAGGTCCTTAGCTGGCATAAAATTATTGTCAAAAAGTAAGAGGAGTCTTGAACAAAACTTTGGCGGATTGTCCCATCTCGGATGTATTTAGGGACAACAGTGGCCGACCCCAAGTAGATGGGATTAAGGCGAGGAAAAAGATTTATTAAATAAAATTTTTTTTTCAATTGAATATCATATAAATAAATTTGGATTGCCATCTGAATATTAAAAGTTGATAATAGTTTATGGTATAAAGATTGCAAATAATTAGTTTTTGGTGTAAAATAGCAACAAAGAATCATTATTTTTAAAAAAAATAATGATAAGGTTTAATATTTTTAAAGATATTTCGTGAGGCATAGTTAAAGAATCACCTGTATATACTTTTGGACTATTTTGTAAAACTATTTCATATGGGACCATACTGGGTATGACCCATAATGGCCCAAGGGTACACAATAATTGTGATGATGGTCCAGCTAGTTCCAAAAAATACTTGTATTAGTTCATAACAAGACAATAAGAAAGATAAAAGGCCAAAAATAAATGTTACAAACTGGATTACACTTATCATAGTGGTCCTTCTCACTCTATATACAGCGATCCAGGATTAATTGCCCTCTTGTCCATTCGCTCATAATTTTATATAGGATAAATTATTTAAATGAAATTCCCAATTATATTTATGAAATACATATAAATAATAATTCCATACAAACCTATCTCTTTAATTTGTAAACGTTCAGAATAAGATTTTTTTGGACACTGCATACTGCCTTCGCTAGGTTTAGAGATCATAGGATTTTTTTTCTTCTTTAAATTAATTAAAGCTATTTGATTTTTGATATCTTCACTGATTTGATTTTCAAAAGCGCTCTAATTGTATTATAAAAAACATAAAATAATGCAATAAGAACTGACATTAATAAATAATATTACAGTGAAGCTAGTCAAGGTACTTCTTTTCTTGAATAAAAGCTTTCTATTCACATTGTCTAATATGAAAGGTTCAGTAATTGACTTGGTATGTTCCTCATGATCACGCAATGGTATATGTCTGAGAAAAACATTTTTAAAAATGTTCACATTTTTAAGATACATCAATTTTAGGAATTAATATACCTGATTACTCGAGTAGTTTGTGTATTACAATTTTTTCCATCCTTATGGTATGCAACATCAATTAAACCACTTAACATTACACGTTTGAAAATAGATGAATGCACATCTTTAATATATCCAATCAAAAATTTTACTGTGCTATAAATGTCCTATGAAAGAAAGTTCACGAAATAAAATTTTTTTTTTAATAGTAATTATGAGCAATATTTTAGAAAGTATTTCAACCAAACGAATGTTTAAATTGTATTTTTGAAATTAAATAAAGTAGACATATTTTTCTATACTTTTGCAATCATAACATTTTCAATTTTTTATGATTCAAATAAAATGATTTTAATATAACTTAAAAAACATTAACGAATATTTCTTAAAAAATATTCAAATTATCAAAAGTATAGCAAACAGCATTACTTAATTGTTATGTATTTACTAATATGTAGTATTTTATTAAACTAATAATTATAAATTTGTTTCAAAATTGTATAACTCGTATTCATTAATATAATATTATTTTTAAAATATACATATTTGAAATTGTTATTCTGTTATTTTTACTACTTAAACTTAAATATGAACTCAAATTTTTAAAAACAATTGTTAATTATAAAACTTTGGTTGAAATATACTTCATATAAACATTATTATAATTATTTATCATAGATTATATTACAGTATTTTCTGGCTGCTTCAACTCTTTAAAAGATTTCACAACTCTAGATATTAAACTTCTGAATATAACATTTATAACATGATACTCATTGCCTCGACTACACGCTGCATTTAATGATCCATATCCAGATGGAGAACCACTCAGTTGAGACATGGTATCAATTGATTTTCTTTTATTACCTAGAGATGATTCACAAACAAATCATGGTATTTTTATTTATTTTTAATCAATCACAGAGAAAATCTCTTATTGAACCCTAAGATGTATAAAAGTAATTTTTTTTTATTGTGTAGTTTTTTAAAGTACAATCCTAATACAACATATCCTAAAACACGTTATATATGAATGGACTTCAATTCAAGAATATAAGCATCGCCATCCATCTACTGAGGGTAGGAAACACGGAGTGCATCATTATTAATGTTTCTGTATATTTACCCATTCAAAAACCAACAACAACAGCATAGCAGAACATCAATTTTTAAGTGACAACTGAGTAAATCACTGCGCCATACTACACTCATATACGTTTTTTAACCCACTTAATGACTTACAAAAAAAAATTACCATTTATATTGATTATTACTATATATATATAGAAATTTTTTTGCATCCAAACAATATTTAGAAATGGAGTGATATAGGAGTGATTTTAGAACAAATAGTAGTGTGTGAGCTACACCCATCCACTCTCTTTCACTTTTCTAGTTTTATGTCTATAAAGGTTGGACCTCCTATAAATACATTATTGTATCCAAAGATAATAAAACACCATTTTGTACATACTAGGTGTTTTTCCTGTGAACGATGATGTATTTAGAAAGTTTTCTACTCATATATTTAAGTATTAAATACTTCTATATTCAATACTTACACATTGGTGAATTTGAAAAGATAGGTTCTGTACAAAATCCAATATATGAATGAATAAAATTGATAACACAAGTTAATGAGTTTGTTTTAATGAAATGCCTCAAATAATTTGAAAATTGTTTTTTGTCATTTTGTTTCAAACGGTTTAATAAAAGTTGACATTGACTGCGTACAAAATTTGCTGGAGGACCTTTATGACCATCTCCACAGCTATGAGGACACCCCAAATTTTGTATAACTCTATATAAAAACATACATTTATTTCAGAATATAAATTAAATTTTATAAAATATACCTGATGATGGAACTCATAACAAGAGCATGTGCTGACATTGGTTTACTATATGATAAATGTGATACATAATCAGGACATGTTATATTTGGATTATACAAGTTATTATTAGAAATTTTAGAAGAATCTCCAGGCCAAGTTTGCTGTAATATACCTAAGTCTAATAATAGTTCTAATAAATTGATTATAACTTCACAAACTCTAAATGTCTTGCTTGTGTTAATTTGGTAAACTGAAAAATGAATCGCCTGCAAAAGTAAATCATCAAAAATATTATGGGTAAAACATCAGATAGGAAAAAATACATACTCTTAACACTACATCTAAGTCAACATCTCCATCCTTAGTAATATAACTCTGTGAACCAGGAACTTCCAATATTTCTTCACTAATATATGTAATATTTGAATCAGTCTGAGATCGTGTTAGATTTGAATGGTGTAATTCTTTACATAGCTTTTGTCCTTGAGGAAACAGGCTATCAAATTTAAATTCTTCAAAAAATCTAGCCTTTTAATAAAATTTTAATAACTTACAATGCGGCATTTTATAAGTCAATAAATTTATAAAATTAATAGTTACTTTATAAAAGTTTATGTCAGGAGATGTTATTCCAGAATGTTCTGTTATAGTAATTGTTGGATTTAAACAATTTTTTACATTTTTTAGGTCATTAACCCTAAGAATAAAATTTAATGGAATATTATATTCAATACACAAAAAATATAAAAAAAATTCAGTGAAATAAAATTTACCTTAAGCTTGGAAGACTTTTTCCTCTGTTTAGAAAGGTTGTTGTTTTATTATTTTGAAATAAAAAATCTAATTTTCTCAACAATGTAGAAGATAATTCATCACTAGTAAACAATGTGTTATGACTATTCTAAAAACATAAATTTTGATAAACTTAAAATACGAAAATACAGAAAAATGTTATTTGAAAAATAGAATACAGTTTAGATTACTACACGACAACCTGATGAAAGAATAATAAAATATGTATTAAAATTTTTTTTGCCTTAATTTTGTATAAAAGTCTAGTTTTACAATAAAAATAATTAACAATTTAAAAAAATTACCTGTTCTAACATGATAATTTCATTTATATAATCTATCTTCTGTAGATTTTTTTCAGATTTTGATAATAATTTACACCCAACAAATGACTTCAAGTCTACTATTTTTTTCTTCTTCTTTATCCTTTCACTTGTTTGTCTTGAATGAACATTTGGAAGATCTCGGTCATCAAAAAATGTTCTTTTTCTATCTTTAACTATTTCTAAAAATTAATTTTTTAATAGTAGAGATAGAAAAATGCTAAAAATTATTTTAAAATACTTTGACTACAATACTTATATACAACATGAAGCAAAATAAAATGTTTTTTTTTTGTTAACTCACTAAAATTATCATGTAAAATTTAAGGTTATTTGGAAGTATTACAATTGTAGATAAATTTGTAGTTTGTACAAAAATTTTCATATTTTTTCTCATAGAAAAAAATATATATATTTAAAATTAAAAACTTGTATGATTACCAAAATGGATTGTTGTAACAATACATCAAGTTGTGAGTATTTTTATTCATGTGAAAATATTTTTTGTTAATGATTAGTTTTTATAAATTTAGTTCTCCTGTTCTACATACTCAACCTGTATTAAAATGTTTGTAACACGATAAGTACTTATCCTAGATTTGTTATCGACCCATTCAAATTTTTTGTAAAAAAATTAACTAAAAAATGACTATATTAAAATGTCAAAAAGAGTAACAAAATATATATTTATTTTATTAAAAAAGAAGTAAACAAATTTTTTAATACTTTTTTAGAATATACTATACTATCCAGTGATTAAAATAACTGTCATGTTTTGATGCTTATATGAAACATATATATATATAAAAAAAAAAGAAATTAATATAATTTAAATTGGTTAAGCCCTATTTTAAAATAGATAATAGTACCATGTAATTTAGTACAATAACTTGATAATAACTACTTATATCATAATAAATCACAAAGAAAATAATCATTTGAAGAGAGAAAAAAAGTGTTAGCATTGTATCCTTACACTGATCAATTGGAATATTATTTATATAAGTATAGAAAATGGGATAATGAATTAGAAAAAAAGTCATGAGCGAATATTTTTTTTTAAGTATTTATAAAGTTAATAATACATTGTATTTACTTTAATTTAGTCTAAGTTTAAAAAATGCAGTTTTATTGTAAATTATCAAAAATTAAAAAGAAAAAATGTTTGATATGATTTTTAAACCCCACAGAACCTTAGTTAATGAGTAGATTTTCAAAAAAAAACATTTTGTCAGCAAGAGAAATGTCTGAAGTATTATGAATAAAAATGTTATAATGAACAATTGTTTTTAAAAAATTATTTTAGAATAAAACTGTTTTATCACAACTGTAATTTTTTGGAACATTTCTCCTTACTATCAGGACTGAGTGGAGTAACTGTGTAGTATCAGAAAAAAAAACCCAAAAAATTAATAAGCTCTCAGCTATGCATCAAAGCTAAAGAATTTATAAACTTCATCCTTGACAATCACTCAAATAATATTATCATTAATATATTTGACCAAAATAATTTATTAATTTATTTAAAAAACTAGATACAAAGATTAATAACATGGCAAAATAAAGAACCAATTGATTCTCAGCTATGATGTATAGCTTTGATGCAAAGCTACACTATAAATAAGATTTTGCTAGGTTTACAAAAATGAATACTTAAATATGAATTAAATTTTTTATTATTATTTAATACCTGGAGAACTATCACCCAAATCAGTAATATTATTTGAATAATTTTGTTTCACTATTTTGCCACGGTAATCAGGTTCATGATGAAATGATACTTCAATTTTTGGAATTGGTAAAGAGTTGCTACGGCGCCGTGGTTCTTGTTTTATTTTGATATTTTCATTTATGTTTTGAAGTCTAAATAAAATATTTGATATTATAAATCATATTGACTTTAAATTTATTTTTAAATAATATTGTTGTTAAAAACAAATAATATTTAAATTACCTATGATATAGATACTGAAGACACCAATAAACTCCTTCTTCACACCACTGCGGAACAAACAAACACCTAAGAACAGCAACATCTAAAAAGGTAGCAGCATACAAATCCACTGAAAGTGATTCTTCTGTTAAAATGCTAGAACTTTTATAATTGTTAGAATTGCTTTTTTTTTTTGATTCACTGTAAAAATTAAAATAAGTTTAAAGAAAATCAAACTATTATAAGTGTTTAATAAAAATAACTTTTTTCTTAAGATTATTAATATAGTGACTGCCTAAAATTTGAATGCATATAAAACAAGATTTAAACAATTTTTTGTTTTCAAAATTATTTTACCAAATTTCAACTACGAAAAATAATAAACCCACCCATATAAACAAATATGAAAATTTTACGACAAAACTAATAAAACTTTAATATATATATTTTTTTTAACGAAATATCTTTGAACAATTTGTTTTTTTTTAAATGTATTAATTCTACTATATATTATAAATTGTAAAAATTTACAAAATTGTCAGACTACATAAGAATCTTATCTGAGATTATAGAATATGTTTAATATATTTTATAAGTTGTACATATACCCAAATATTATTCTAGGATTTAATTTTTTACAGTTTTCATAATTTTCATATAGGGTTCTTCAATGATATTAATAGTTTAATTCAATATTAAAATTGCTGACTTATTTCCTTTTTCCCAGAATAATGATTGTTTTTGAAATATTCCAAAAATAAATTTTTATAAAAAAATAACTGTTTGAATTTTGTTCACATAGTTATAATATTATTATAACTATTAAAATATTGTTATATTATTTGATATTATGCCCAAAACAGATCATGATAATCTAGAAAACATTTTTTGAATTAAAATATATTCGGAAATATAGAATTGAGATAAGACGAAAAATGATATTTATTGATACAAAATTCTAATCTTACATTAGGTTTTTTGTTATAACATTTTTGTTATTCTTATTTTTAACAATACACAAACAATAGTAACAAAAAATTGGTAAAAACATTTAAATATTAAATTTAATTTTTGTATATAATTTTTTTCTGATATTGATTTAATTTTTTATACAATATCAATTAATTGAGATTTTGGGAAGAGTTTTTTTTATTTTGATATATCGCAATATAATATTGCTCAAATTAGGTACAATATCAATATCTAAAAATATATTGTTGATGAACCCTGTTTTAATAGTTGGTAGTTTACATTTACATAATAATTTATCTTGTAGTTTTTATTTTAGAAGTCTAAAAATCTTTTAACTACTAAATCTATTGTTATTTTAATTTTATTTAACACATTTTTTTAGTTTTAGTAATATGTGCTCCTTGGACAAAATAGCTTAATTTTGATATATAGATTTTACTATTGAAGTGAATGATACTAGGATATAACTAAATTCTCATAGACTCCTTTTTTTTTTTTACTGTATAAAACAAAACTATGCTGATTTTTTAAATAAATCAAAATTTTTTTTTTCAAATTAGTAGCATATTTATATTAATAATTAGGAAATATTTATGTTCATATTTTACCTAATTTTAATTCTTTTTTGTAATTGTTTCATCTCGGGAGAAGTAATTGCTGCCAATTCTTCAAATGTATATAAAGAATCAGACTTTCCAATAGGTAGTTGAAATATACTTGGTTTGATCTAAAAATATATTCTATGATCTTTAAAATCTATTAAATTATAAATAAACTTACTGAATAACTATTTGCAACATTTTCTGTATTAAAATTATACTCGTCACAAGGAGGTATATGAAAAATAACCTGAAAATAAAAATGTAGTTCAGTTTCAATTTATCATTATTACTATGAAATATTAAATTTACCACTTGTTCATCTTCAGTACTTGAATTCTCTTCTGGTATTGTTTCAGGAAAATATTTTTCTTTTGGAGATGCTATCCAAATCTAAAAAATATATAAGATTTTTTAGTAATAATTTTAAATTAACTGTCAAATTAAATCTAAAATAAATATACTTCTTCTTCAACAGATTTATTAAATGAATCATTAGCATTTATATGTGTTGAACTTGCAGATGCAGATAATGTATGACTACTATAATCTTGATTTCTAAATTTATCTGGAAAAGACAAATACATTCAATATTACATTTATAAAATTACTACTTCAAATTTTTTCTTGACATTTTACCTTGAGATAATTGTTTAAGATTATACCATATTGATTTTGGTTTTGGCTTACAATGTGCAGTAAAACAAGCATTATTTGGAGCTCGGCTTTCCCAAAGTGCTTGCCATAACTTTAAGCCACCCTCTAACCCATTATTGAGTAAATCAGATTCTTTCATTTGATTGACCAATGGAGCAAACAGGTAAACGAATAACTATAAATTATATTATTTCTACAAAAATATTTAACTCTTTATAACAAAACAATTATCTTACTGTTATGGAAGGTATATTGTATAAGTAAAAATGAGGTGACGTTTGAAATACTCCCTTTTCATAATCTGAATCAGCACATTCATCAGGAGCTTCAAGTAAAATCCAATGCAAAATATGAAGTAGTTTGGCTTCAACAGCACCAATATATTGAATGTTAGTTCCTTTTCTAAAAATGTATGATTATTTAAAAACTACTAACTCATTAAATTAAAAAAATATATTTTTTTAATTTAATACTTTTGCTGATTAAATAAAAAGTAAGATATAAATATGTTTCAGGTGATTACAAATTTAAATATATATATATATATATATATATTATAACTTCTTTTATGTTATACGAGTTTTGTATTAAAAGTTTTCAAAATTTTGTTCCTAAATATAGATAAACTACATAATCGTAAATGTTTATTACTCTCCAGCCATTTATTGAACTCATTTAAAGTAGACAAATCATATGAATTAAGCGATTATTAGGATGATTAATATTCATGAACATATCAATATTAAATTTTGTAATAAGTGTTTAAAACATACTCAATGTTACAACTAATTTAATCATTTTAATGACAGTTGAGTTAGTTGATGGTGACCCACTTTCAGAATGTACATCGACAACATCAACAAACAATGCTCAAGTGGAAAAAGTCAATCAAATTGCACAATTTGATTGACATTTAACTGTTTGAGAAATTGTGGAACATTTTAACAATTAAATTTGTTCATGACATAAAAAAACTTAAAATGTACAGCATTGCAGCAAGTCGTTGTCTTTCAGTTGACATAGCAAGATTAGAAAGATAATCATGTAACCATATGTCAAGAATCGTTAAATGATGATGATGACATGTTCATGACGCAAATTATTATGGACGATGAGTTTTAACAACGTAGGAGTTATCCATCATGAATTTCTACCAGATGGACAAACTTTTAACCATTGGTACTATCTAGATGTATTAAAATGTCTCCAAGAGACAGTAAAGAAGAAAGTTTCTCCATCACAACAATGATCTGGTGCACTGTTAATTTTTGATTTTTGCGCGAGTTACATGACCGTACTTATTCAAACACAGTATTCTCTTAATTCAATTCCAGTAGAATTTTTTTGTATTTCCAAAACTCTATTAAAAGAATAAAGTTTTACTACAATAGATGAAAAAAATATTCGCAGAAGATTTTATGGGCAATTCCAGAAACTGCTTTCAACAGAGGAAATGTCATTGGCAAAAGTTAATAAACTAAGAAGACTATTTTGAGAGTGATAAGTCTCAATAATATAGAGGTAAGAACCATAAAAAAAAAATTTAAAGATTGAGTAACTTTTTAAACAGATTTTGTATTGTAATTTTTTAGGGTTTTAAACTTTTCAGAGCTATTTTGTGGAATTTCAGTAAAATTACCAAGTATTGCAGAAAAAAAAAAAATAAGCTAATGATATAACAAAACTTTTATTTTTTTCTATTCAACAATGAGATTCAAGTAAATCTATATTATTTTATTTTAGCTTCAATTCATAACTGAAAAGCTATTGGTTTTACTAAGCCGTGTTTTTTTTTTTGTGACATTAAACAACTACTATCACTTGTAATTGACTTATTTTGCTTGATCATACATTAAAATATCACAAAACATATGAAATTAAAGTTATCAGCATCATCATGTAGTAAAATTCCTTTCCTTGTAATAAGGAAAAATTTTGCAAAAAATTACAATTATTGTAAAAACAGTTGTAACGTAATAAAGTTATCATGAGTATAAGGTCACAGGTAACTATATTCAAACAGTGCCCTTCGTATATCTGTAAGGTCAGTGTGCATATACACACATGCATAGTTATTAGACAAATCATTTTCCCTACCACCTGTGATCTTTGTCCATACCATATTATACTACATTATAATGGTCACACTGGCACCTACTCTCCTTAGCATACACCAAATGTTAACCTTCAGCATTCGAACTCCGTAATTATGTATTAAATCTCAATAACAGCCACATCAGTATTGGTTAATTGATTATTCGATTGATTTCTAATTAGGTGCGACGTTTGGAACTCTAATTCTAGACTAACTGATGTATTTAGGTCTTCATAATCTACATTTTCAATGGAAGCTTCAAGATCGTAATAATAGTCTCTTGTGGGAATAGTCTCTCCAGGACATGAAAACTCTTTACATAAACAAACTAAAATTCTATTGGGAAAAGCAGATTTACAATTTGAACAAGCAAAAAGATTGGCGAATAAAGGTAGATCATTATGATGGTAAGAAGCTGAACGTTGTAAAATCTTAAAGTCTTCAGAGAAGGCGTATATCCGATTAGCTGAAAAACGCACATATGAGTCATTGAGTCACATATGAGCACCGCTTGGAACAATTGCATCACAAAACCCGAACAATTTGATCTAACAAATCCACTTAAGTCGACAGCTCTACAATTTCTAGAAAATGAAACAGCTAACTGAGTATGATTTACTAACATATTTTGTGATAAGCTTTATTATCCATAATAGGCCAAATATTGTACCATGTGCTCAAATCATGAAATGCTCTTGTATGAGCAGGATAGTCCACTTGATTAACGGTATACTCAACGTGAGACATAATCAATGTACCATCATATCCAATCTCAAACTTACTTATCAAATCTCGAACGCTTTCATATCTTGGGAGAAGGTGAAGATTGATTAATTTGTCAATCTCTCGCTCAGTTATATTGTCAAATCTAATAGTACCCAGCTCCTTCAAATAGTTACAGCTTCTAATTTCGGCTGACCATTTCTTTGTAATAACATGATAAATATACGTTGGTCTACAGATAGATTGGGCTAAGTTATTCTCAACCAAGACGGTTACCATATGAGTAACATCCCCAACTATCATCCACAATAAAATCATTTTCCCTACTACCTATGATCCTTGTCCATACCATATTATACTACATTATAATGGTCACACTGGCACCTACCCTTTCCCATGTGCTATCAAGCCGTCTTTGGAAAGTACGGTTATGTTTGACAAGAATCTCCCAATCATCATCACTCTCTTTTTTATCGTAGTCTCATCAAATTTTGGCGTGTCTTTACAAATACACGAAGGAGGAGTAAAATTTCAATTTGGTTTGGCCATGATTATGTCAACTCATCACACATATCACCTGGAATTGGACATCCTGAACAAAATGTAATATGGTATAATTTAACTTTATGTATTCCCGCACAGTGTGCATAATTTAATTCATTGTTTTCTCCTTTTTGGTTAAATGGCCATGACGTTTGTATTTTATTATTTTATTAATTAATGATTATATGGGTTATTTATCATTTTATATTATAAGTAATGGTCAATCCGTCTATTTTTTTTTCCCTTTTACCATGAGCAGTCAGTTACTCGGATGTCATCAGGATGGACATGTTGAACATCTCAATGAATGCCTGATTGTCTGTAGACAGCTTGTATGTAATATTGTGATAAATCACCATACATTTAACTTTTAATTATAAACATACTGTAAATTCCTCTTATATCCTTGGCCATAACTTAATTACTATTAATTTATTCAATATTTTACTGTAGTGTTTTTGTTCCCTATATTTTCCCATTTATTTAGGACCTATGTTTTTAATTAATTAATTTGTTTTTATATACAATTCTCTTTTAAAATACTTTTGTTATATTATGAGAAAAAGAAAAAAAATTGTTTGTAATATTTAATAAATTTTAATAATTGTACTAAATCATAGTTTATTAATAACCTTTTCCCCTAGGGTAAGGTACCAAAATCCCAGGTGCTCCGGCTTTGCCTCGGGGTTCATGTAAATTTAGCTTACACAGTCAATTTTATTATTTTTAACTTTCACACTGAATCAAATTACATTGTATAGACTATTTAATATACTACACAATTAAAAAAAGATAGACTTCCAACGGCTCCTTCTATGAATTACATACTCTGAAGTTGATAATCAAGTAACTTTTGGTGGATATAATAAGCCGCTTTAACTATTTAAATAATTTATGAATCAAAATAAAAATTTCAGTAGCAATATATGAGGGTGAATCAAATATTCAAATATTCAACACAAATATTAACCGGAATTTTACAAAAATTTTCTTAGCCAACCACGAGCGCTCTTACAGTGTAGGTTCTTGTAATGTAGTGTGTAATGGAGTGAAAAAAACGCTTGGTGAGCTGTTTGACTCAGTCAATTCGTCAGTACAGCTATGGGTGAGCAATAAGTTCCAGCGTCCGTTGCACAATGGATAATAATAAAGTTTTTAACTAAAGAAGGCATTCAACTGTGCGAAATTTTGACTCGATTGAAGGCTCAGTATGGGGATGATACTCTGTCTAAAAGTCAAGTGTTTGATTGGCCAAAAAGTTTAAGAGTGGACGACAAACAGTAGAAAATGTGAGTCATAATCAACGTCCAAGATCAAGCGTCTCTGGTGACAACATTGGTGCAGTTTGTGACCTTATTGAAAGTGACAGGCGGCTCACTATTCATGAAATCGCTTTACAGGTAGGCATTAGCTATGGAAGTGCTCAAACAATCATTAAAAATCATCTTGGTTTCAAAAAAATCTGTGCCTGATGGGTCCCGAAGTTGTTAAACGAATATCAATAAAACATCCGACTGCAAATCAGTAAGAGACATCTCAAACGATTTCAGCGGGAGAGAGAGACTTTTTTGAGGCATATCGTGACATGTGACGAAACATGGGTGCATCATTACACTCCCGAGTCCAAGATGGCGAGTAAAGAATGGCGAAGGAAAGATGAAGCCGGTCCTGTGAAAGCTAAAATCCGTCTTTTAGCTGGTAAGGTCCTTGCGACCGTCTTTTTCGACTACTGAGGAGTGTTGCTCATTGATTTCCTACATGACCGATGTACGGTTAATGTTGCCTACTACTTCTAGCTGTTGGAGGCAGCAAAAGCTGTTTACAGAAGCAAAAGATGCGGTGTCCCTATCAGAAACGTCATCCTTCTTCGTGACAAGGCCACATACGGCGGGTAAAACGAAACAAAAACTGGAGGATATACATTGGGAACCCCTTGAGCATCCTCCATACAGCCCAGAATTGTCACCCTGTGACTATCATTTGTTTGCGCCAATGAAAAATGCACTTGGAGGATTGTGATTTTACAACGATCAAGATGTTCATGCGCAATTGGTTGGTGACTCAACCTCAAAGTTTTTACGAGCAAGGAATTAACAAGCTTCCAAACCACTGGGAAAAATGTGTAGAGCATGAAGGAGACTATGTAGAAAAATAATCAATAGTATTTTTGTAATGTTTTATAAATAAATAAATATTAAAAAAGAATTCCTGTTAATATTTAATTCACCCTCGTATAAGACATGAACTTCACTTTTAACATACTTTTTTTGAAAATCCAATCATAAATTAAATAGTGCTTATAAATCATAAAATATTTTTTTTCTCCTCAATTTTTGATGTTTCATTAAACCTGCCTTCTTTAAATCTTGACTGAATTAAAACTAACATTTAAAAAACTTTAAAATTAAACAATGACTTGTTTTCTGAGTAGTCAGCCTTTTAAGTCAAAAATCAAAGTATTTGAATAAATATGATTCTTTTTTAAATTTGTTTCAAACATGCATTAAAGCTTTTTAAAAGTCACAGAAATAATTAATCAGAATTGTAGTAAGTATGGAGTAGGTAAAATATTTTCTTTTGGTATTAATAAATAACCAAATAGAAGTTGAAAACTTTTTTTGTTTTAATAATAAACATAAAAATTACCCAACTCAATAGTGAGTATATTTTTGAAGCTGTATATATTACATTTTTCTTTGGATGTTTAAAAAGCTTTCTATAATTTAGCAATCAATTCAAAATATTACACTCCATAAAAATTAGCTAAAAATAAATTGTACAAGAAAATGTAATTGAGAACAAGATTTATACCTGTTTTGAAGAATAGCAGCAGTAGAATGAATAAGATGAGGAAGCGAAGCCTGAATGATATGCCATCTACTTAATGATTTAAATTCTTTTTTAAGAGTATCAGGAACATCTGTTCGTATATCTTGTACCAATAGGCGTTCAAAAGACTATTAAAATAAAAAGATAGTTAAATAATGAAGATTTTGTACATTGACCTAAAGATCTAAATTACAGAAGTATAATTTGAGGCAATACTTATTTCAAACTTCAGATATTATTTTTCTATATGAAATTATCTGCTAATTAAGTTTTATATATAATAATTTCATAAAATAATTAATACTAATTCATCAGAATTTACCAAATCTAACATATTTTAATTATATAAAGTAATTAAACAATAACAGCTAGGAATTATTTTTAACTTTTTACAAAAAAGTGATCTATTAAATTATACCAATAAATACTGTTAAATAACACTACAGTTCTAAGATATTTACAAATACATAATTTAACAATAAAAAATTGAATCATTCAATTATTTATATAATTATTATATAAAAATGTAAGAATAACCATAAGGGAAAAATATTCTAGTAAATATTAAAATCAATGTTTTTTATTATTAATATTCAAATTGTACTATGTAAAATGTATATATAAGTTTACCTTGGATGCTTCTTTCATTTCCTATGGCAAGTATAGTGAAAAAAATATTTTATTAATAAACTAATCAATTAAATTAGTAGTTTGCTATTCAATACTCACATGATGACCATGTATATGTTGACAGAACTTTTGGTAGATAAAAAAAAACACATTTTTAAAATAAATATTAATACAGATAAATATACAAGAAAATGTACACCAGAAGGATACAAAGTAACAAGAAAAATTTATTTAAGTTAATTGAATTCAAAATTTAAAAAATCTTCCCAATGTAATTAGTTTAAGGATCTATTACTAAAAAAGTGTGACTTTTCACAAATTTTTTTTTAGTATAATTTTTTTAAAAGAATGATTATTATAATTTTTGCTTTTGCTTTTACCTCATTTCAGTCACTTTTATATCTCCTCCTATGTGTCTCATTATAACTAACCACAGATAAATAATTATTAATGATTCTTACCAAACAAGAGTTTTCATGTAATTTCCCAACTTTTGGTTTAATAAATGCACTAAAAATAATTTATAATTATATGTAACATTAATAGAATTAATTGGTAAAAAATTTTTAACTTATAGTTTTTATAAAAAAATCATTCTGTGAATGTAGGTTAATGGCACCACTAATTAACACAATGATTAATTTATGGCAATTCATTTTAATAATTAATAAATAATTTATTAAAGTTTTAAACAATATTTTGATTTTTGGATGAACTATAAGACTTAATAAGAAAACAAAAACAATTTCAATAAAACAAATATTTAATGTTAGTATAGGCAACTTAACATGCTATGATGATTGTATATTACATATTTATGATTCTCAAGAAAAATAAATGGATAATAAATTTTTTGGGAATCAATGGTGTACTTTAAGATACAGTGTAAAAAAGAATTTTCAACTAAATAACTTTTGATAGTACATTAAGACATTTGTTTATGGACATATTATCAAAGTAGACAATTATATTTGTGTAACCCTAAATATTTATGCTTAAATCTACATAAATTAAAATTAGGTAATGGTTACACTGAAAAAATAGTCAAGCTCATTTTATTGACCCTTTAACTTTTCAATGATTAGTGACTTAAAATACAGTAGACTAAAAACATTTATTAAATGTTACAATTATAATACTCAAGAAAACACGATAATATATTTTAAAAGAAACAAAAATAATTTTAAACATAAATATACTTACCTTGTTAACCCCCAAAAGTAATTTTGGAGGTTGATGGGAACATGCTGATCTGTTGAGCAGCTATCATTCCAATTTAACTGATTTTCCATTTTTTCTAAGGTTGAATATTATATGAAATAAATCATAAGTAGTATTACACTAACAAGACTTTTCTATAGAATAAATAAAAATTTTACAATAATAATAACGATGAAATTCTAAAACGATATTATGAAAAATTACACGTTTTCAATACTAATTTTTTTTTTTTTCATAAAAAATTGACAAGATTTAATTGAAATTGAATTTTAATCTTTATGAATATCCAGAAGACATAACGATAATTTAATATCATTAATATATTAGAAAAATGTAAATTGAATCACTCTATGAGTAAATGAAATTTATCATTTCAACCATTTTCTATTAATTTTTTAAGACTTAACTATCATACAAGTTTAAGAATACCGATCAATAAATTTGCAGTATGGAGGTACATATGGAGGTAAAACTCTATTTAAAACTTTCCTTAACTGTTTATCATACCCTTAAATGATAAAGACCTTTATTTATTCTAAGATTTATAGATAATAATCAATATCTCTAGTCTCTAGTCTCTAGCTATATACTAAAATCTCAGCCCCTCTCAATAAGCTGCACCTGGAACAGATTTTAACTTTTTTCCGTAGTAATCTAAAATATCTATATATAATAATCTATTATCTCAAANACATCTATATCATAAAATATCTATATATAATAATCTATTATCTCAAAACCTTGCATTTATTCATTCATATTTCACAAACTTATATGATATTTCAATATATTTCATACAATATATGTTATTAATAATTGTAAACTTACTAGGATTAAATATAATTATTTATCACCTGAGTATGCATGAACAATGATAAATTCTGACAAGTTAAATTAATTTTATATACAAATTTATCGACAGTTGACCAAAATTCATTATTTTCATCACGATAATTCTATACATAATGTGTTTGTAACATATATTTAAATATTCTTAATGGTAAGCATCTATTTATGAATTACTTATAAGTACAGGTTTAATTGGCATTATGTTTAATGTTCAGAAATTTTGAAAAGTATAAGACAATTTTAATGAAACATAAAAATGGATTAAATTTTTAAAACTAGATTAAGTTATTCATTTAAGTCTTTTATTTTTTTAATTTTCATAGATTTAGTCCTTTGAAGACCATCGATAGTCTAATATACTTAATTTTGACTTTGTAATATAACAATTTTTAAATAAATTATGCTTGTGACTTGGATCTTAAAATTCAATTTATTTATCATATATCATTATTTCAATAAATAGAAGAGTGATTCATAAAGAGAGATTTAAAATATGTTGTTGACAAAGCATATTTAATTTTTTTTCTGTAAACAATTAAGAAATTTAAGGACTTAAATTATAATTTAAAATCTTTTCTAGCAAGCCTCTGATATAATTAACATTATAATATCAGAATATAGAAAAATCTCATGAGTGACATTTTACCAATTATAAAGGAGAAGTGAAAAACTTTTAGCCTTTGTATTTGTCAATGTAAAAACAAAATTTAGTTTTTGATTATTAACACAACGAATTTGCCATGAAACTATTTTTTCGATACTAATATATCTAAAAAAGTAACCTATATACATTTCTACATAAATAGATTTATGAGGTTTTCCCGTTAAGAATGTTTAAAAACACAATTTATCTAAGTATTTTAAAATAATTGTGAAGTAGAAAAAATTTTAATTTCATAAAAAATAATATACAATTATAATGGACATTAAGAAAAGTTATTTGTATTTACTACATCAGTAAGTGTTATACAATGATAAAAACATTTTTTTTATCATTATTTTTTAAAATTTAAATAAACAAAAGAAAAGAATTTTTTTTTTGGTTTTATTTAAAAAAAATCATGTATGGCTAAAATGTTCAAACATCACTCTTCATCTGTGGAGATGGGGAGAATTTCAACCCTCTAACCACTTTTGGTTTCACCATTAATATTGTGTTAAATATACCATCAAATATGTACATTATTACTCATTAGATATACAAAGTGTGAATATAAGTTAAATAAAAAACAATATGTTTATTTAGTCTTTATTTATTTAAAAACTACTCAATTATTAAAAAATAATATTGCAAACTTTAGGCCAACTGCATAAAAGTAGTATTTACATCATATGTTGAATGCCAAAACTTAAAGTTTGTTTTTAACAGTTATATTTATTTATACTAATTTGCAGAATTACTATTTGCCCATATTTATTTCATTGTATTTAAACATTACCCTTCATTAGGAAAGTACAAATAAAACTAAATGTTTGTATCCTGTTATTCATAGCTTCAGTTCATCTTTTCTAGTATTTTTAAGTATTTTCTAGTAATCATTATTTTAATTTTTCTTTACTGTATGAATATTTGATAAACCTATAACCATTTCTTCTGTAAGTTGTCATAAATCTTTATTTTATGTTATATAAATTAACTACAATAAAATAATTATATTTAAAAAACATTTTAATTTTTAGAAAAACATCAGTACTTTAAATATTTAAAAATCAAAATTATTGAAGTATGGCAAGCGTATTTTTGTTAACATTATTCTTTTTCATGAGTATCTTGGAATTATCTAGTATGATAGGATTTCCTATGTAAGTATTGTTACTTATTAATTAATTTTTCATTTTTAATGTATGAATTTTTAAATAGGTAACATTGTATTTAAAATGTTTTATTGATGAAAACGTCATAAATTGCTTAAATTATGTTTTAAATAATGTTCTTCATACTATAGAGTAAAAATATATAATTTTTATGGGCTATCAAAAGTATAGGCAGGTAATCACCTGTTTTTAATTAAATGTTCTATAGATGTTTTTTAAAAAAATGTGTTTTTTAATTTAAACATGTACAATAAACTGAAACATTATTATAACAACTAAATATCCGGTTTTCAAATTTATTAATAATATATTAAATATATTATAACATAAATTTTATGTTCATGATTTTTTATAGGTTAATTATTGAGATATTTATTTGTTTCTTTTAATTATTGACATATACAATTGAACGAATACATATTAATTTATTTCAATTTTTACAGGAAAAAATTATTATTTGATTTTAAAAATAATGATAATTTAGCTAACTGGCAGGAATTATCTGATACTGTAAGAGATGTAGGAAAATCAAAAGCTGTATTTGTTACCTATAATACCAAAAGTAAACAATCTGCTCTACTTTTAACAATGTTGATGGTTCAAGAAAATGGTGCAGGCTTTTGTGGTATTCGTACTATAACTCAGTTGAATCTTGAGAAATATGAAAAATTATCATTTACATGTATTCCAAATGGAAATGCTACACATTACAAAGTCGTACTAAGACACAATAATGAAAATGATGAACCATACCCTGCATTTGAACAACAATTTGAGGTTTGATATTAAATATGAATAAAAATTGATTATATAACAAGTATATTTTAAAAATTTAATACATTTTTAGGTTAAATTGAATTCTGAAAATAATATTGAATTACCACTAATGAAATTTAAACCATATTTTAGAGGAAAACTTGTAGATAATGTAACATTAAATACTTCAAGTATTACTGCTTTTGGTTTTCAAGTTGCAGGAGGCGTCTATGAGTCGTTTAAGCAATCGGGTTTATCTTCCTTGGAGTTGGACCAAATATGGGCGATACTAAAAAGTTCTAATACTATAATAAGCTAATTTTGATTACAATGATATAAACTGTTGAAAAATTATATTTTGTTTCAAATTTTTATCAATGATAGAAATAACTCAGAATTTTCGTTTTACTTTTTAGTAATGTTCTTAGTTATTTATTTTCAATTGTTTTATTTTCTAAGTTTATATTCATTATATTTAAATAAGAGTTTTTGTCATTATGATTTTTTTGATGTACTCTAATTTCTTTCTCTAATAATATTGTATAAAGTAATATTCCTTTATGTTATTTAATTGATTATAAAGTCCAGTATCTATTATTTTAATATCAAGATTTAACAAATATATAAAAAAATTTTTGTTCTACTCAACATATTGAATTTTAGTCTTAAAAAAAAATGTTTTTAATATTCGCAAATTATAGGTTCAAATGCCAAATTAATTATAATATACAAGTACATCTTATACTGATTGATCTAACTGTTAATTAATTAACAAACTAATACTTAGAAAAGTATAACAAAAAATGTATGTTTAACAAAATTAATTAAATATTTTATCACGACTGTGAAGTTAACGATTCCTAAGTACAAATTTCTAATCAGATACAAACATCTGTCACCGACTGGTTACCAGCAAAATATATCCACTCACCGCTAGTGGACAAAACGTTTTCATATTTGTGGAAATTTGAATTTACATGAATTTTTTAATACAATATCAAATATTGAAATATGTATTGAGAAATGGACAGTAGACAACGAATTTTTTTCATACTAAATATTGATTATAAATACGTAACTTTTATCATGAATGTTATCTACACTTGAATGAGAGCCTGTAATTGAACTTGAATATTAGAACTGATAATGCTCCGACAATTGACAAAGTAGTAATTGTTCCGAACATCTGGTACTGCGACCATCTGATACCATAGGCTACCTTAACCACAACGGATTTTACTCCGACATTTAATTAAAAAAAAATATTTTAGGTGATCCAAACATTTTTATTTATAATTCATTTTTAAAACCCAGTACAGTGGGGACGTGGCATAGTTGGGTCCAGTATAGATTTAATCTGACAGTGATTAAAATCACTATCATAAAAAATGCTTCGATGCAAATCTGTAGATAGTGATTAATTCTAAGTATTAGTGGATATTTACAAAAGCAACATTAACTTCTATTTTTGTCATTATTCCAACTTTTATTGCAAACATATATAATTATACTCAGATTACTTGAAGTGCTTGAGGATATATCCATTTTTACAGTTGAGTCCGAAACGTCAGAACTCAACTGTAAACATGGATATATCCTCAAGCACTTCAAGCTACAAGACAATCCATGAAAGTTTTAACACATTCATAGTCAGATTAGTAATTCTTTTAATTATATATTATATAATTTTTATAATTAATTGCTTTCAAATTATTATTGATTTTGATTTTTTATATGTTAAAAGTAATAATTTTTAACCTTCTTTATTCAGCCTTTAAAGTGAAAATTTATAATAAAAAAAAAATGAATTTATTACCATAACTTTTAGCTCAACTTGCAAGTTTGAAATTGTAATCATTAAATAGAAAAAAATGGTATTGTTAAGATTAATATACATTCAGGAAATTTTATAATTACTATTTATAGTTAATTTTTCATTTCATCCATTGTTAAATTCTGGTGAAACTAAAAATCATTTTTTTTTTAGATTTATAATATACATGTTACGAAAAAATTTGGAATGTTAAAGACTGGTCACACACAAATAGAGTAAAATAATTAATAAATTACAAAGTAAAATTATTTACTTTTGTAGTTGAATACTTTTATCATCACAAACCTAATTCCACAATAAATAATTTAAAAATATAAATGAATGATTTAAATTTTTCATATGGATAAAGCTGGTTATTTCTACTTTTTATTTGAATAAGGAATATTTTTTCAATTATTAAGGGTAATATCTTCAACTAAATACGAATTGTAAGTAATTTGACGTATCGTTGAAAAAAGGAGGTTAAGTGAGCGTTGGAAAAATAAATCGCGGCCACAAAAAAAACACATAATAAAATAATATTGACATGAATAAGAAATTTGTTCTCACGAGGGGAGACTATAGTGATAGGATCCTTGATATTTATTGAAGTTATTGAATCTAAATGAGATAAAAATCAAATGATTTGAAAATTTTTTTCTAACACAAAAAAAATGCAAAATATTAGTAGCTACAAGCGGTTTAAAACCTCATACCCTAGGCGTAAAAGATACAAGTGTTATTGATTTGGCAACTGTTCATTGCTACGTCGCACGATAAAATCAGCAATTTAAGCTAATTTAAATTTAAAAATTACTTTTTTGACTTTAAAAAAGTAAAAAAATTTTAATAAGATTAATTTCTTATGTCTTATGAACTTTTTTTTTATTGATTCTTTTAGTTAAAGTAAATCATTAAAATTAATTAAGTTCTGAATATTTCTATTGTATAATCTTTTTAAACACCAAAAGTTAATTAAAAATGATTACTATGATTTTTATTTAAGTGATCTATTACGATAAAAATGTAAAAAAAAATCGAACTTTTTTGATAAATTAATTGTAAACTATTTACAATTAATATAATTAATTATAAAATTTCCTGAATGTATATTAATCTTAACAATACCAATCTTTTCTATTTAATGATTACATTTTCAAACTTGCAAGTTGAGCTAAAAGTTAAAGTAATAAATTCATTTTAGCTTCGATGCGAAGCTGAGAAGGTATTAATTTTACTATAATATGTTTTTTTTTGTGTCTGTTACCACTTTTTCTCAGCTCTCACCGAACCGATTTCTTTCAATAATACGTCAAAAGATCACAAATTGTATCTAGTCGAAGACATTACCCTCAAAAATTGAAAAAATTTCCCTCGTTCCCCGTTAATAGGGAAACCTCCAAAAAAATTACATATTTACAAATCGCTAATTTTCGAAATTTTCGAAATTTTTTTTACTTAAAACTGCCATGACTTTTTCAAAAATGAACAAATTAATATAATTTTTTTTTATAGATGCTTGATGTCTTTCCTATCATTTGGTATATTTTAATTCAACATACTTGTTTTTTTAAATCGAACCATTTACCTTAATACAGATCATGTAGCTTTTGGAATAATCCACCAATTTTTTAAAATTAAACACTATCTAAAGATTTGCATCGAAGCGTTTTTTTTGATAATGATTTTAATCACTGTCAGATATCATTATACTTGATCCAACTATGCCACGTCAACACTATGCCGCGACCCCCCTGTGCTGGGTTGTTTTTTTATTATAAACTTGCACTTTAAAGGTCGAAATAAAGAAGGTTGAAAATTATTACTTTTAACAAATTGAAAATCAAAATCAATAATAATTTGAAAACAATTCAATGTAACAATTATATAATATATAGTTTTATATTATATTTTTGAATCTAAGAATTACTAATCTGGATATAATTAAGGAAATAGTTGATGTTGCTTTTTTAATTATCCACCAATTTCTTAGAATTAAATATTATCTACAGATTTGCATCGAAGCGTTTCTTTTCTTTTTTTTTTTTTTTATTAAGAAAAGGCTTCAACAACTTATGGACATTAGCCTACAGTTTTTTTTTTACATGATTATTAGTTGTACATTAATTAAAGTCATAAGTTGACAATCGATTGATTTTAGCTATATACACATATTTATAATTAAATTTTATAGAATAATGTTATAAATTTACATTAAATTTACAAATCTTGCGGTTTCATAGAATCTGTAAATGGTATCAGTGTTTGCTTCACCCAGAGCTTCCTCTATGTTTTTGGGGTGACCTAGAATACTCCGCTCCCCATTGTATGTGCGGCAGTGGAGTGTTAAGTGTTCAATGGTCAATGGTACACCACATGAAGAGCAATATGGTTGTTCCTCTTTGTTGAAAATGTACGAGTTTGTGAGTCTTGTATGTCCTATTCTGACTTTGGTGATACGGATATCTACTATGCGAGCTGAGTTGTGTAGTAAATATATGAGGAAGTATTGAATTACATCGATTTTAGTATAATATAAGTTTTACATAGTAGTAAGCAATTTTTAAACTCCTAAGCAATAAAATAATTCCATATAAAAGGGAAATGCAGGGTAAGCAAATTAATAATGGTGGGAAAAAGAATATAAAAGGGAAACATGAAGAGTATAGGGGGTCGACACGGGACGATACTGAGCGAGACGAGACTGGACGTTTTTGTCGAAGAAACGTCGAGTTGCGGGTTAGGTTGTTGACGTAAGAATAACTATATACTTTTTGTAAGATTTAATTAATTTTTGTGTTATATTATATTTGACTTTTGTGTTTAATACTTTTCGTAAATAAAATAGCTATTTAAAAATCTTGACTTAGCGCAATATTTTATTTTCACGGTGATATCGAAAATTGTGTGTGTGTGTGTGTGTGTGTGTGGCTAGAGTCTAGGTTGGACTGCTGGTCCTTTAGTCAATCTTAATAATTAGTGTACGAGCTGGCTAGTGTTTGGGCTTAACCGTCCTTTAGTGGGTATAGTAAAAAGGTAGTTGTGCTGGTGGCTGACAAGGAGCCACCCTTCAGTCTGCTACTTTTGAGCTAGACCGTGCTGACGGGTCTAAACTCTACCCCTTTAGTGGTCCACTAATTAGAGAGATTGGGGCTGATCAGTTTATCCAACGGGAGGACTCGGGAAGAGCTCGAACGGCGAACTCATCGTCAATATATATATACATAAAACTTTAGTAAACCTTTGTGTCTACGTTGGGGTACTACCGACGTACGACAGTTGATATCTAAACGCCATTTATGGACAGTTTTTTTAATTTGTTGTTGGTAGTACCGTCCCATTGGGTTTGCCACTGTTGAACGGAAATTCGGTTAATTATTTTTAAAATATCTTTGTGACATGATTTTGATGAGAGAGTAGAAGATATGTCTTGGTTAGCCAATGTGTTAACTTTTTCATTACCATTGATTCCAATGTGTGATGGGACCCACATAATTTTAAAAGTTTTATCAGTGTTAGTAATGATATTGCATATCTGGAGAGATAGTTCATTTGACGGATTATTTGATGATAATGAAGTCAGGGCACTGTAGGAGTTACTTATGATTAGTACTTTATTAATTTAGGGAGGATTCAGTGTAGGTAATTGCTTCTTTAATAGCAAAGATTTCTGCCGTGAAAATGCTTGCATCTGAGGGTAGTTTGTAAAGTCTATTTATATTGCCTGAAATGAATGCGCATCCTGTGCCATTTGTATTTTTGGAGGTATCAGTGTAAATTAATTCATAGTCGTGAAAGTCGGATTGTATATTTCCATTAAAAATTGAGACGATTG